ATCAGCATCGATCGATCGTCTCGAAGGTTTCGTGCCGAAAACTCACAGAGTGGATCTTCAAACCACTCTTCTGGAAATCCTGCACCAATCTCTTGTTGCCGTTGCCTTCACAACTTTTGCTTTCTTGCAGAGATGAAGGAGTCATTAAATTTCAACACCCATGACTTTCTCTGAAGATATAGCATGAACGTTTTCCATGCTTCTGGGCTCTTTGATAAAGAGTCTGCAAGTTCATATCCTCTGGCACCCATGCTGGATGCTGAATCTTCTCCTCTTGCAGACCTTGACTGATGCCAAGGATACCCACCGAGGATCTTGCATTTTCCATTGGTATCTAATCTCGCCTTTCCAGATCCGCTCGAAGAAAGCGTTGCACGCCCTGAACTAACCGGTCCTTTCGTCTGAGACAATCTGATCATTGAACTACTCCAGTAATCTTACTATATTGAAAGTAATCTGTAGTCTACTTACTCACTTCTTCATTCACAGCTTGTGTTTATGTTTTCTCCCTTGGACCAGCTGAGCCGCTGGAGTTTTAGCCCCATGACCATCGTGCACCCGTGCCCGAAGACCCACATGACATGGACGGGATGTGTTGCACAAGGCCTGACGGAGCATCTTCCCTTTCAGCATGGCCTTGGCCTTGGCCAACTCGTCCTGCCATCGGCTCGGCCTTTGGGGCCCTGGGGTTTTGAGGTCGTCTACGAGCCAATTCTGGAAAATCCATTCTCCAATGTGTCATTCCCCGAGCGAACCAGTGACAGACCGAAATCTGACCATCAGACGAAGCTGTCAAAACAACCTGACATCAGCTTGGCCACTCACCTTGGTGACTGAGCCAGCACCTTTGAGCGCCGTGGCCATGGCCATCGCCATATCACCCGCCTGCGTGGAATTCCGGGAAAAACACCCAGAAACGTCGACGAGAACGCTGGCCATGGTTCAGCGTTGGCCGTTATGAACACCACCGTTTGACCTTCTTGAACTAAGAGTTGATGGTGTCAAGATGAAAGGAAACGATCCAGAACCCACAAGTGTTCTCCGTTCGGATGGGTGGACCTCTTCGTCGTTTCGCCAACGAGACCAGAGTCCACCGACTCTTCGGTCCCACAGATCTATCGGTGGTCGTTGGGGGCAACTGCAACAACACCGGGAGCCCCGGCAGCTACGGCGATGTTGACCGATCCGTTTTTGTTGGTGGAAAAAAGGAGCTCTAAACTAGGCCGTGGAGAGGGTCCGAGTGAAGAAAGACATGAAGGCTTACCATGACCTCTCACAGAAATCTCTGTTGGAGGCTGTTGGGAGTTCCTTCGTACCCACATACGAACGTTGCTTCTTTCTCCAACTTCACCAGCATATATGCAGCACAACTGAGTTTCTCTTTTCGCCCGACTTTGGGAACATACCAGCGGTGGCATGAAGTCTGGCATCCCATCTGGACACAAAATCACTGGATATATTATATATAATATATTCTCATATGATATGATACTATTTTTATATTTTATTAGTATCAAGCATTCAATTCATGATCGTTTCGTCTGTCTGATCCAAATCAGGTTCTCAGGTACTCGCCTCATATGCTGGTCCCAAGGATGCTCACTGCCCGGCCTACTGTCGTATGGTTCTCACCTGTTAAGCACCGAAAACCTGTATGCTCTCCAAAGCCTCAAGCCTATGGCAGTGAGAGCACAAAGGTCACGGGCTCATCAGATTCATCACAGTAGCTCAACTGGGCACGAATCCCACAGGGAGCTGGAACTGATTCTGATGTGAACAAAGAAATTCTCGCTCAGGAGCTGCACCTAGCTTTGCAGGTGTGCAAATTCGAAAAAAATTGCTTGCTGGACTGGACTGAACTTGTCTCTCACAGGCAGTGCGGCAGTGCACAGTTTGCAACCAAGAGATGCCAGGCATGGAATCTGACAGACACAAACTGCCGAGTTGTTTGAGTTGCAATGCAACAGAAACACTGAGACGTCGATGCCGCCCTCTTCCTGCAAGCGACGAAGAACGAAGAGATTGCGCCAAACATTAAGATCATTCAGGCAGACTGCAATCTGGGAAGAAGACAGGGGTTTTGGGATTTTGCCGAAACGCTCCATGAAAACAGCCCAAGCCTTCCGATCCCTCCAAACCTAAGGGAACCTAGGTCAGAAACCCGAGACCCCTCCACGGATTTGGATCGGCTGCGTCTTGGTGGGTCACAAATGGTCACATCTGGTCACATCCTTCCCAGAATCAGCAGGGGACTGATTCTAGCTGGAGCCTGCTAGCTGGAGCCTGCTAGCTGCTCAGCTAACTCAGACCTCTTCGCCGCCCAATAGATGCTAAAGTTTGGGTGTATCCCCATGTCATGAGCAGTAATAGTGCATCATGATGGTTAGGTCCCAAACCTTTCCCCAAATAGCCATCATCTTTTACCCACTTCCTGTTACTAGTTTACTGGGACACACCGACACACCCTACTTTTTCAGCATCTCATTGTTCAAAGTAGAGGATATATAAGTATAGATGTACTTGTTGGTTGAGATGATACACAACTACAAGCGAACAGCCAACGCCCTGGTGACCTTACAGCCGTTGGGGCTTGGGTCGTCGTTCGCACTGAAAGCCCCACATCAACGGATCGAGCGGGTCGACCGCTGCTTTCGGAAAAAGCTGTGGTGAAAGCCAAGGGTAGAATCCTTACATGAAGCAAACCACGGATTGCAAAACCTCATATGGCATTTGAAATATGTCATCGAGTCTACGGTAAATAAGATCCTCAAACTGTTGCCCCTCGACATGTTACAGTGCAGTTAAGTCATGTACGAACCCATGATGGACGAACAAATCGAAAGGACAGATCAAAAGAAAAAGCAGAGCTAAGCGGAGACCACTAATAAAGTCTGTCGGCCAAGTCGCTTTGTGGGAAACGTGCCAGAATATGAGAGAATCCTCTAGAATGAACATAAACCGTAAACCCCAACTTCCAGTCAGGATGATGGCGACAAATACCTTTTGCTGGTAAACCAGTAATTTCAAACCAGCTGCCTCAGAAGTGGGACGTCCCAAGCCGCCAGGCGACCCCATGCTTGAAGCTAGAGATGCAGCAAGAGGCTGCTAAAAAAGCAAACACTCTTTTGCTGCGCTCTTGCCGTGTTGATTTGATGTGCAAACAGCTTGTTTGTGCAGATTATATAGGTGGTCTTCAGCCGCCACCCCTTTCAAGTAGGAAAACAAGTGCTTTGAACATACGAATAGAAATGCATGGAAGAATGGAATAATAAGACTTAAGACACCTCATTTGTTGTGCATGTTCAAGTGTCTTCCAAGTTCTTACAAAAGCCAATTACAACCTGTTTGCAGATTGTGGCAATTTTGCCATGCCACCTGGCGTTGGCCAAACATCTAAAATATACAAGCTTCGTGCAAGATCCAACACAATGCGGGAATGTTTTTGGTCTGGACGAATCCACACAGACCATCGCATCAGGATATGCACTGCTTCACTGGGGTGCTCCCTTGAATAGACCAGACTTTGTCAAATATTGTCAAATAAAGCCAAAATCTGGTCTCCAAAACGAGACAGACATTTTAGATTGGCAAATGAATCCGGGAAACTTGGGCTTGGGGTTCACATTCTGATCTGTTCTGAATCAAGGACATAGGCAAAATGAAGCAAAGCAACCAAAAACAACAAAAGCCTTGACACTCTGTGGGAGGAGCGCCCCGCACGCAAGCTTCAGCAGGAGCTTGCTCAACCAACGCATACCTCACACCTGCCCCCTTCAACCAACCTATTGACGGCTAAGTTGACAGGGCAAAGTGCTTGGTTTGCGCTTGATACATGTATGTCATCACCCGTTGTCACTGTGCCTTCTGTCGCCCAAAAAAACATCACAAATGGTTCATGGTCCTGTCTTTTCTTATGCCTATCCGATTGCAAAATAGATCTTTAAAGGAGTCTACATACAAAAGCATAAAACAATGTGCCGTGTGCCCCTACCTTTCCTCAAACAACTGTGAAGGAAAACTGACATTCTTCAAGCACCCATCCTTCAAACAGAACTAGGAATGCGGCACATTCGGGTCGACTGTTCTCAATAACCGCTGTAACTCCGCTTCAGCACTTCCATGGCATTTTGGATGTCTGGCAAGTTGCGACAAGGACAAAGGTTGACCAAGCGCGAGAAGCCTCAGCTGCGCGAAGTTGGGAAAGCCTCCCATCCGAGGCTTGGCGAAGAGAAGCCCAAATGGGACCCAGATGGGACTCAGATGGGACCCGGATGGAGCCAGACCCTGTCGAAAGGCCATCGATTTCCCTTATCAGGGGGTTGGAACGCCTGGGAAGTCTCCCTATTTGAGCTACACCACATGTTCCTCCGCGGTGATGAACAACCGTCCGAGCGGCTCATCAGGCTCAATTTGCGCTGCAGTTGCTTCCACCTCTATGCGTCACCATGTCCCACAGAGCGCATGGAGACGTTTGTGTTGTGTAAGGTAAATCAGTCTGATTCATCCAGATCCATAAATGATCAGGGCAGTCACTCGGACAAATTGTTTGCAATGGGCCAGCATGTTCTTCAAACTGGCCAGTTTTCAGAAATGTGCGAAAGCAGATGCGTTAAACATATGTGCCATGTTTGTTTAACAATCCTTCTCGATTAAAGAAAGGAAAACAAACAACATCATCAGACTTCATGGCCATGGAGTTGTTTTCCACCTCACTGGGTGTGCCATCTTGCATCATCCAGAACAACCAGCATGTTCCAACATTTTTAGGTGTGAACCGAACATGAGCACAAACTCGGGACAAGTTCACATCCTCTTGTCTTACAGCAGTCTACATTCAATTCGTTCAAGGGACTTCCAGGAAGGAATCCAGGAAGGAAACAAGCCGTTCGTCTCATTTGGCAAAATGGCCAGGTGCTGCTCCATCAACCGAAGGACCTGCCATTGATTTGTTTGCGAACTGAGCCTCTTGTATATTGTAATGTTGACATAGGATTAAGTAACCACCCCGTATTAATCAATCCCAGCTCGACCCCCCGAATACTAAACTAATTTAAAACCTAGATTTCCACCTTGGCACCCCCCTAATATTTTTCCCTGGGCAGAAACCTCCCCCCTATTAATCAAACCCAGCTGCCCCAGAACAAAATATAGTTTACTATAATTATTTCGTGTTTACTTTCTTTTTGGCTAGTATCCAATATTTTCTGGTCCCTAAAAACCTCTCTAGCAAAATGTTTTCATTTTCCCTTATAATCCCTTATATATATATATATTAAAACTCTATCAAAATCTTAACGGTTTCTAGCTCACAAAGGGTACCCCTCTCACCAACCTCAGTGTTCGCACAGAATCACATCAACCATCATCCATCATCAGCCTCCAATACCTCCAATTTCAGACCTTGTTGACCTTGAAGGGGGGGGGCCGGTTGATTGATCCTACCTACGTCGACATTATGTGAGAGTCAAGTGGTGCTTGGGTATCGTCGGTATCATGCATAGTTTGGCGTCCGACCACTTAACTTAATATGTTAATCAAGATGAATCGGGGCCTTTCATGAAATACGTACTTGCTTATTTGGCGTATCTTGGAACGATCAGCGGGGCCGACACATATCCCCCCCTTCTTTTTGCACATGTGACCTCGAGAATCAGGAACTCCCACCAACATTGGAAGTCAAGGAGTTGACACCCAAAAAATTACTGAAGCTGTTTGGGGTCTATGCTCGCATAAACTGATAAGTGCCTTTGGTTTCCATGCATTAAGTAATAAAGAAATATCTGACGTCGTGCCGAGTCTTTTTGCTAAAGCATTCTGAGCAAAGAACACACCCGCGAGTTTGTTGCCTGGGACCTTGGAGTCATGCATCATCTGCCCTCGAAAAG